GGGCCTGGCCGCACCAGCCCCAGCTGCTCCCCCGGGCCTGGCCGCTCCCAGCCTGGCAGCCGCTGCTCCAGGCCTGTCCACACCAGCCCCGGCTGCTCCCCCGGGCCTGGCCGCTCCCAGCCTGGCAGCCTCTGCTCCGGGTCTGGCCGCACCCGACCCGGCCGCTCCGAGCCTGGCCACTCCCGACCTGGATGCTCTGGGCTTGGCTACTGCTGTTCTGGGTCTGGCTGCTCCCACCCCGGCTGCTCTGGGCCCGGCTTCTCCGGGCCCGGCCACTCCGGGTCTGGGTGTTCCTGGACTGGCCACCCTGGGCTTGGCCGCCTCCGCCTCAGGCCTGGCTGCTCCAGTGCTGGCCGTTGCTGCTCCGGGCCTGGCTGCCACTGCCTTGTGCCTGGCCACTCTAGGCCTGGCTGCCGCTGTTCCAACATTCTGTCCTATTTTTTTTCTTTTTTCTTTTTAAAACGCATTTATGTTGCAATATTGGCTGGTGAGTTGAGTTCTGACTTGGTCTTTGATTTTTCATGATCTTCTTTGTATTCTTTCTTAAGTAATTTTACTATTTTTTGCTCTCACTTGATTTCTTCACATTGAGAACTTCTTTGGTTTCTTCCTCGTCGTGGGAGCTCAGCAGGTTGGCCTGTGGCACCCCTTTGTTCTCCCGGGGCTCCTGTGCTGCTTCAGCCTGTTGCCGGGACAGCGCCGCTTAGGAAGCAGCCCCCGGCCTTGGCTCCATTGCCCGAGCTCAGTGGTCAAAGGCTCAGGGGCACCCACGCCCCCAGGGGCCCCGTGGCCCGCCTCCTTGCTGGTGCCCGGTTGGCTGGAGTCCGGCAGGGGCTTCCGCTCCCCTCCGCGTTCCCCCAGCCTAGAGCTTTTTTTTTTTCTCCTTCCCGCTAGGGAAGTCCAGCATCAGAGTCAACAGACTGTCCTCTGCGCGCAGTTTGCGCGAGTCCCGGGGGCCCGGCCTTTCGCCGCTCTCCCCGGACTCCACCTCACAGCCCCGTCTCCCTCTGCCTGAGCCTGGGTCCCCAGGGATTGGCCCAGAACTGGGGTTCGGAGCAGTCCGGACTGAGGCCCAGCGCCGCCGGAGGCCTTGTTTCTTCCGGCTAGGGTAACCCAGCATCAGAGTCAACATTCAGTCCTCTGCGCACATTGCGCGCGACTCCCGGGGCCCTGCTTTTCGCCGTTTTTCCGCCTCACTGCCCCGTCTCCTCCCACCGGGGCCTGGGTCCCCAGGGTCTGGCCCATAACTGGGCTCAGCGCTGCCGGTTCGGGGGGGCTCAGCGCTGGGTTCGGGGGTTCAGCCCAGGCTGGGGGTTTTATTTCCTTCCTGCTAGGGAAGGAAAGGCAGCTCCCCGCCCTCTCCTCCTCTCCGGCTGCGACGTCTCCGCGCACGCACGCGTGCAGGCGCGCAGCATGTCTCCGTACCTTAGGCTTTTTTTCAGCTCCTCTGATTTTCCTTCTGGTTTTCTCTTTCCTTCTTGTTGTAGAATTTTCAGTCAGTCGACTACCTGTAGCTCTGGGCAATGTCCACTCTACATTTTAGTTGTATTCCATTGAAATTGTTGTGTGCTGCCGCGGTTAGATGTCTACCCGAGCAGCCATCTTGGATCCTCTTAATTATATTTATTTTTTAAAAATATATTTTATTGTTTTTTTACAAAGAGGAAGGGAGAGGGATAGAGAGCTAGAAACTTCGATGAGAGAGAAATGTCAACCAGCTGCCGGGGATGTGCCTGCAACCAAGGTACATGCCCTTGACCGGAATCGAACCTGGCTGACGCTCTATCCACTGAGCCAAACTTGCTCTTGGAATTTTATTTATGATGTGTCTGGTGTGGTCCTCTTTAGATTCCTTTTTTGGGGGGTTCTGTGCACTTCCTGGACTTGTAAGTCTAATTCTTTCACCAGATGGAGGAAGTTTTCTGTCACTATTTCTTTCAGTATGTTTTCGATATCTTTCTCTCTCTCATCTTCTGGGACCCCCATAATTCTGATGTTGGTTCGCTTGAAGTTGTCCCAGAGGTTTCTTACATGATCTTCAATTTTCTGGATTCTCTTGCCTTTTAGCTTCTGCAGAGGAGTGTCTTCTGGCTCTTTATGTTCCAAATCTTTGACTTGATTCTTGCGATCTTCCATTCTGTTTTTAGGACTCTGTATAATATTTTTTATTTCAGACAATGTATTCTTTATTTCTTGTTGATCCCTTATCATTTCTTGATGACTCCTTATTAATTCTAGTTGATCTCTTTTCATATCCTCATAGGTCTTATCGATCTTTTCTAGGAAATTCTTGCAAAACCTTATAAGCATAGTTTTGAACTCTATATCCAGTCGCTTTTTGTCCTCCATTTCTTTCGTTTGTGATCTATTTCTTTGTCACATTTCGCAGCTACAGATGGGACGGGATTTCAGGGTGGAGCCTGCAGCCTTGGCTTCCGTCAGCCCCGCCCTATGCGGGTCCTTCAGTGCTCACTGCCGGCGCCTCTGAGAGAAAGGTGCCCTCGATTTTCGCCTGCTACCAAACAGCTCTCCCCCAATGAGCCCACAACTGGGGTTCAGTTCAGTTGGAAGTGGAGTTGGAGGTGGCGTTCAGAGCAGTCTGGAGCCCCTGTCTCCTTCCCACCAGGCAATTCCTCGGCACAGTCAACCGTCCCTTCTCTGCGCACAATGTGCGCGCCGCCGGGACCTCCTTTTGCCGCTCCCCCGGGTTCCGCCTTACAGCCCAGCTCCCTCTGTTTGAGCCTGGGTCCCGGGGTCTGGCCTAGAACTGGGGTTCAGAGCAGTTGGAACTGGGGCCCAACACAGTCCGGAGCTTTTGTCTCCTTCCCGCTAGGGCAATCTGGCAGCAGAGTCAATAGTCCGTCCTCTGCACGCAATGTGCGTGTCTCCAGGGACTCTGCCTTTCGCTGCTCCCTTGGGATTCCACCTCATAGCCCAGTCTCCCTTTGTATGCGCCTGGGTCCCCAGGGTCTGGCCTAGAACTGGGGTTCAGCGCTGTCGGGTCTGGGGTTCAGCACAGTCCAGAGTTTTTATCTCCTTCCTGCTAGGGAACACCAGCCAGGCACTCAGCCTCCCTTCCTCTCCGGCTCCGTCCTCTCTGCACGCGCAGCGTGTCTCCGTACCTTAGGCTTTTACAGCTCCTCTGATTTTCCTTCTGGTTTTCTCTTTCCTTCTCGTTGTAGAATTTCCAGTCAGTCGACTTTCCTGTAGTTCTGGGTAATGTTCATTTTATATTTTAGTTGTATTTTATTGAAATTGTTGTGTGAGGCTGCAGTTAGGTGTTACCTTTGCCTCCATCTTGGATTCTCGTCTGCATTAGCTTTTGTTGATACGATTCAGTGAGGAGTCTTTACTCGACAAATTAAAGGTACACCAAATGTTCTCTTTTTTTCTCCTTCCTTATACCCCTTCCCTCACTTCTGCCGCGGCCTCTGTTCTCTCAGCATTTCCCATCCTCCCACAGCAGGTGTGTACCCCTCGCCTGTCTGCGCTTCGGGTTGTGTCTGTGCTGTGGCTTACAGTGTGGAAAGGGCTCTGCTCACCCGCTGCCTCTGAGTGCCCTGGGCTGATCAGAAGAGTGAAGTGCAGACTCGGGGCCCACAAATACCTGTGAGGCATCGTCTGTGTATGTGACATGGTAGGAATTTGTGTGCCGTCAGTATTGTAAACCATCGGACAAAAAATAAAAGTTAAATATAGAATCAGCCAGCCCTGACCAGTGTGGTTCAGTTGGTAGAGCATCAGCCCTCGAAGCAAAGGGTCTTGGGTTCAATTCCCATTCAAGGCACATACCTGGGTTGCAGATTCAATCCCCAGGAGGCAATCAATCGATGTCTCTCCACACACACACACACACACACACACACACACCCCGTTCCTTCGGCCTTTCCACTTACTCTAAAAATCAATGGAAAAATAAAAATATCCTCAATGAAGATTAACAAAAAACTATATATATATAAAGATCACTTAGTTTTTAGTGGAAGAAGTATCAGTAGTCTTAAGTCTAGGGGTGGAGTTGAGTGTGTGTGTGTGTGTTTGTGTGTGTGTGGGTGTGTGGGTGTGTGTGTGTGTGTATGTGTGTGTAAAACCCACAACATGCTGCTAATCTGGTTTCTGTCCTGGTCTGTCGTTCCAGGGCTTACATTGAGATGGGCTTCCATTTGGTTTATATGTAGCCGAGGAATTCCCAGCTCCACTAAATAAAGTCACAGCAGCCTGAGCAAGTGCCACCTTATGCTCATGGTAACTGAAAACTGGTTGGCCAGCATAGAGATTGAATCTGTAGTTTTTGTGGTATTACTGCTTGTCTTTTCTTTTCTTTTTTTGAATCCTCACCTGAGGATATTTTTTCTTGATTTTCAGAGAGAGTGAAGGGAGGAAGGGATGGGAGAGAAAGAGAGAGACATCAATGTGAAAGAGACACATCAATTGGTTGCCTCTCTAAGGCGCCCCTACTGGGGCTGGAGGTCGAACCTGCAACCCAGGTTTGTGCCGTGAATGCAAATTGAACCCGAGACCCGTAGGTGTGAGGGCTGGCGCTCTATCTACTGAGCCACACTGGCCAGGGTTTTGTGATATTACTTTTAAATCTCACGTTGTTGTTCACAATTAGTAGGTTAGTGCCCTCTTTTTCTTTCTACTTTACCTGTTTTTAAAAGGTATAACAAACGAAAGCATGTCATCAGATAAATGCTTTCCAGCTGAGCATTTTGTAAGGTTTTTTGTTTGTTTGTTTGATTGTTTGTTTTAGCTACCCCTAAAGGAGGCCAACTTGTCTAATTGGTAGATTTGTAATCATTTTGCCAAAATATCTTGAATCTTGAAGCAGTAACTTTATAGTCTTACCCAAAACCTTTTAAACTGTGTTGTATTTGAGAAGTGGGAAAAGAAACAGCTGTGGGCATACTACAACTGCTGTTATCTGACCTTGTGTGTCTGACACCTCTCCTTCCTATAGCCCTTCCCCCAGGTCTGCATGGAGGACACTTTACAGTGAAATGACAGACCAGGAGAATAACAACAACATCTCAAGTAACCCCTTTGCTGCTCTTTTTGGCTCTCTGGCTGATGCCAAGCAGTTTGCAGCAATCCAGAAGGAGCAGCTGAAGCAGCAAACTGGTAAGTGGAGGAGCCGGCAGCAGCAGCTGAGGAGTTCAGTTTGCCACCCGTGGTCTTAGGCTCCGCAGCAGCGACCCACAGGGGGGAGCCGCTGGCAGGGTCCCCTAAGACCATCGGAAACACAGACATGTACATCACGATTCCTAACAGTGGCCAAATCACAGTTATGAAGCAGCAACGAAAATAATTTTATGGTTGGGGTCACCACAACATGAGGACCTGTATTAAAGGGTGGCGGCATTAGGAAGGTTGAGAACCACTGGTTTAGGGCATAAGTTGGGGTCCGTGGGATTGTTCGCCTTTATTTGTTCTGTGATGGGTCCTTTCTCCCTGTCCTGCCCTGTAGAAAAGGATGGTTTTTAAGTAACAGATGCCAATCAGGGCATTGTTTTATTTTTTTAAGTCGCCTGGTAAAAGATAGTTAAATAAATCTTTTTATCATAGAAGCTGAAGTTTTAGGTAGAGGTATGGAAAGCAAGTCACAACTATAGAAAGCAGGAGTGTAAACGGGAAAATTATAAAAGGTTTTGGCCTCTGGACAAATAGATGAGATTTGTTCTCAAGCCCAGTACTTCAGTCTGCCTCCGTGAATGCTTCCTCCACACCACGGAGGTCACTGTCCCAGCTTCCTGCTGTGGGAGCGGGTCCCCAGACAGCGGGACCCTTCCCCTTCCTGGGAGAAAACCAGGGTAGCAGCTCACGGGGCAGAAAAACCGTTCTGCTCATCCGGAACCAGCATTAAGATGAGGCCTCGCCTCTGCGTATAAGGAGTCAGTCCCGAAGAATCAGCATGTGTTTCCGAACCTATCAGCCTTCAGAGAGTGCGTCTTTCAGACCAGAAATCGCTCCCCTCTGTTACCATCGAGAGAGTTGTGGTGTGCTTCTTTTTAGGAAAGGAGAAATGTTTGTATTTCCCTTTATTTTGTTATTTCAGAAGTGTTTGGATATGTAGCTGGTGTGTAGGACTGAATAGGGAAGATAGATGCATAGTAGACCTGGGGGTGGGGGGGTCGTTGAAGCAAGGGAGAAATAAATGTAATGCTGACCTGTGTGTGTTTATAACCACTTGCTGCCAGAGAAACGAGCAGAGAAACAGCAGGCAGTGCGACTTAACTGCTGGCATTTTCATGTGCTAGAAAGAGGCAGGTCTGGGTCTCAGCCTCTGAAAACTCGCCCAGAGCCCTCGGATATGGGCTTGGAATGAGAAACCTTCGTTAGGAGGTAGTAGGTGAGAAAGGAGAGTGAGGAACGGGAAAATGTAAGGAAACGAGAAAAAAAATAGGAGTATGTGGTTGAGGGAAATTTGCTAAGTAGGTCTTAGCTCCTGTCACTCTTGGGAGTTCAGAGAGCTCAACAGCATATGAGCAGAGGAATGGACGTGTGTCCTCTGACTGTAAACGGACATAAGGCTGGCTCGAGCTGGAAGCATTGTGGGCACCAGGCAATGGAGACCGTTCAGGTTCATGCCCTTTTGTTACTATTCTGGCACCTCATCGTCTTAGTTTGTTTGCACTGAGTCTATCAGGCCACCACATCTAACCTGTTCCACCAGCCGTGAGCACTCTGCCCACGCCTTTGCCTCATATATTGAGCTTCACTTTTATTTATTTACTAGAGGCTCGGTGCACAAGCTCATGCGCCAGTGGGGTCCCTCGGCCTGGCCTGCAGCATTGGGCCAAAACCGGCTCTTTGACATCTCTCGGGGGTCCCGAGTTCCGAGAGGGCGCAGGCCAGGCCGGGGAGGAACGTGGGAGGTTCGAAGCCGGGGAGGGGACCTCGGGAGGGTCCAGGGCCGTCCTGCTCAGTCCCTGTTGGTCGGACCCCAACCGCAAGCTAACCTACCAGTCAGAGTGCCTGCGCATTCATTTCCAAGAACACGCCAAGTGCTTCACTACTAAAAATGGAACCGATGTTACAGTGAAAAGTGAAAAATGCCTGTAAGCAAATGCTTTTATTCGGGCTGGAATATCCAAGAGTTTAAAGTTTAGGAAGAGCCTGATACTTTTCGAATTAATTTAGCTGTCCTTTTAGAATGCTTACCTATATTTGAATCAAGTCCTGTGCCAGGGAATTTGACTGCATTTCGGATGTGTTACCGAGGTCTGGTTACCCTTTGATGCTATTTCTGGAAGAAGAGGGTTGACAGCCTGTAAAATCAATGTTCAGGAGCCTGAGGCAACAGGGGCTTGATTTCTGCAGCACCAATGTCGCTACTGAAATTATCCTCAGTCGGGGCTCCGAGAAGCATTTTCCAAACCGGATATAACAAATGAGGTCCTACAGGCCGCACTGTCTCCTGACAAGCCTTATTTCAAGTTACTTGCTTTGGGGAATGCAGGAAGCTCCCACTGTGACTATCCAAAGATTCTGATTCGATGAAATCATTAAACTGTAATCAGACCCAGGTCAACAGAGACAAGATTTCCTTACTGAAGCCTTCCGCACGGCTTCCGTCCTGTCGTTAAGGTTTCTATTCCAACAGGTCCCGAGGGCTCCTCTCATTACAGCAGGTGGTTAGAGATGAGAGTGGACAGGTGTGTTTTGTAGCAAATTACTGCTGCCTGACGAGGTTCCTGAGCCTGACTTCAGTGTGGCAGTGCACTGTGACATTTGTGTCTGCACCTGTGAGAGGTCATGTTCTTCTCGTGACTCTCCTGGGCTTCCTAAAGGAGAGAGATGTGGACAAGACGGGAGCGAGAGCCCTGTACCTTGACGTTACTGTGTATTTTCTAAGTAAATGTTTTCACGTAGTCACAGGTTACCCAATACTGGTCTACCCCATGGTTCTGTCTTTGGAATTCATGGGAATTATTATGAGCCAAGATGAAAAAAATTACCTATTCAATTCAAGTAGGATATGCCAAAAGCCTGAAAATGTAAAGTTTGATGGAGCCAAATATAAATGTTCTTTTATTTATTTACTATTAGTAAAAGCAAAGGCATTGTTTATTAGTTTGAATTCTGAAAATATATCTTAAAGCAGTGATTCTTAAAGTGTTCTGTCCAAACCAGCACCATCACTATCACCTAGAAACGTGGCAGAAACTCTGCACGTGAGTCACGAGCCTCCCCTGAGCCCCGGGAATGCTGACGAGTGCTCCAGTGTGAGGACCGTGTTGGGAAAGGATGCTTTTAAAGAAAAAAGGTCCCGGGTTCGATTCCGGTCAAGGGCATGTACCTTGGTTGTGGGCAAATCCCCAGTAGTGGGTGTGCAGGAGGCAGTTGATCGATGACTCTCTCATTGATGTTTCTCTCTATCTCCTCCCTTCCTCTCTGTACAAAATCAATAAAATACATTTTTTTTAAAAAGCATTCAGCCGAAACCGGTTTGGCTGTGGTAGAGCGTTGGTCTGTGGACTGAAAGGTCCCAGGTTCTATTCTGGTCAAGGGCATATACATTGGTTGCGGGCATATCCCCGGTAAGAGGTGTGCAAGAGACAGCTGATCGATGACTCTCTCTCATCGATGTTTCTAGCTCTCTATCTCTCTCCCTTCCTCTCTGTAAAAAATCAATAAAATATTTTTTTAAATAAAAATAAATAAAAAATAAATAAATAAAATAAAAAAGCATTCAGGAGCATCAGAGTGGTTGCTTTTCTCCATGATTTCCTCACAAACCTTCTAGAACAGGCAACACCAAACAAGTCTGAGTAATTATATGAATTATATGAATTTATTTTAAAGTATTCATCTTGAAGATGAATACTTTATGAACAAGATAAAAAACAGTCTTTAGAGTTAGAGATACTCTTGTTTCAGACTTGTTCAGTGTAGTGAGTCCTGCCTTGAGTACTTATTACATTCCTTCTGTTTCCCATAAGAGTTTCTCAGTCAAACTTAGATGGAGAGAGCCAATTAAGTCGTTTTGCATTTCCTGGGTAATTTACAATGAAATAATTTTATGGCATGTAGATATTTAATAAAACATGTTACTTAAAAATGAAGAAAAAATAAATACATTCTCTTAAAATCAGGGAAAAACATTTAAAATTATTAAAGGCACATTGATCTAGTAGGTAATTTTTTATCACTAGGATTCTGTAGTGAAAATCATGTGGTTAATTTTGGCACTGGTGTACAATTAATTATGAGTGCCGTATTTTCCGGCATATAAGACTACCCCCTAATTTTACAGTTAAAACATAGGTTTAGGCCTATATTCGCTGTATAAGACTACCCCCCACTTCAAAGAAAAGACTTACTTTGCCGTCAAGATCTGCAGGTAATTTTTTGCAATTTTGGTCTTTTGCCCCCGATTTTCGGTTGACTTTTTTTCATTTCAAAAGTCTTATACACCAGAAAATATGGGAAAGAATAAAACTTTTGATTTGCAAAATGTGGTAGGACTTAGGCAGGGATTTCAGAATCCTGAACTTAAGATATTGCCTAATACAACTTAACAGCAAAACAAAAAATAAAACAAAGCAGCAAACAATCCAAATTAAAAATAGGCAGAGGATCTGAAGAGACATTCTTCCTAAAGGGACCTACAGATGACCAGCAGGCACATGAAAAGGCAGTCAATATCACTCATCACCTGGACACTGGACATTAAACCACAGTGAGACATCACCTCACATTTGTTAGAATGGCCGTTAACCAAAAAGACAAGAAATAACAAGTGCTAGTAAAGCTGTGGAGAAGAGAGAACCCTTGTATACTGTTAGTGGGAATGTAAATTGGTACAGACACTATGGAAAACAGTATGAAGGTTCCTCAAAAAATTAAAAATAGAACTGTCACATGATCCGACAATTCCTCTTCTGGGTATCTATCCAAAGAAAACAAAAACACCAACTTGAAGAGATACATGCATCCACATGTTCATTGCAGTATTGTTTTCCATTGAAACAACCTAAATATCTATCAACAGAGTACAGATTTTAAAAAGTGATATACACATATAATGGAATATTCTTCAGCCATAAAAAGAAAATCTTGCCATTTGTAACAACATGGATGGACCTTCAGGGTATTATGTTAAGTGAAATACATCAGAGAAAGACAAATTCTGTATGATCTCACTTATCTATATATATAAAAGCCTAAGTGACTGATGGTTCAGCCGGTAGCTATGACGTGCACTGACCAGCAGGGGGCAGATGCTCTAAGACTAGGTATGGAAACATGATCAGACTGATGAATCCCAGAAGGAAGGGGGAATGGGGGAGGACAGAAAAAGATTAACCAAAGATCTTATATGCATACTAGAGGCCTGGTGCACAGATTCATGCACCGGTGGAGTCCATTGGCCTGGCCTGCAGGGACCAGGCTGAAACTGGCAGTCTGACATCCCCCAGGGGGTCCTGAATTGCAAGAGGGTGCAGCCAGGCTGAGCAGCCTCTAGTATGTGAAATTAAAAAGAGCTCAGAGATAGAGAACAGGAGAACAGGCAGGGGGTGGGGAGTGAGTGAAATGAGTGAAGGAATCCAAAGATAGGAACTTTCAGTTATATTAGGTCTATATCGATAAATAAGTCCACAAGGTTGTAATTACATAGCAGGTGACTATAAATAATACTATATTCCAAATTTGAAAGTTGCTAACAGTAGATCTTAAAAGTTCTCATTACAAGAAAAAAAATTCCAACTATGTATGGTGAAATATGTTAACTAGACTTATTTTTGTGAACATTTCCCAATACATCCACATATCAAATCTTATATGCCTGGAACTAAATGCTATATCTCAATTTTTTAAAATGTTGCCTGTCTTGAGATAGTCACTGATTAACTTGTTTCACATGCAAAGTTATCCTTCTCTTAGTCACATTTGTCATTTTGGGGACAGTGCTTGGTTCAGCTAAGAGAGGAATGTGACTCTTATGGTTTCCATTTCTGCAGATGAACTCCAGCTCAGCCAGGATGACTCGGATAATAGCGTGTCAGAGAGCCTGGATGAGTTTGATTACTCTGTGGCTGAAATTAGCCGCTCATTCCGCTCACAGCAGGAAATATGTGAGCAACTCAACATCAATCACATGATCCAGAGGATCTTCCTCATTACTCTGGATAACAGTGAGTTTCACACTTACAACCATTCTGTTCGTTGCCTGCTCTTCCCTCTCAGACTGGGACTTGCTCTGAGAATCTGTTGTATTTAACGGTTAAGCAAACCTGGAACACGGGGCTGAGGTTTCAGTGAAACTTCGATGGAACCTAACATCAGTGTTCAGACACAGGTGGAGCTTCCGTTCCGAGGTTGATACTGACTGCACTCTGTAGCTGCTTACCCTCACTACCTCAGAGAGGGCCTGGGGATGACTCCCTTTCCTCTCAGAGGTGACTTAAGCATCTAGACGGAGTCTTCAGGTGGTGCGAGGCAGTGTTTTCACTCTGTGCCTTATCTGCCGTTAAACCCAAAGTTAGTGCGAATGTCTGGGACTTACTCTTTAAATGTCATGGTGTTAGGTTTATACCAAGGCCATGCTCTGTAATTGGGGGCAAGGGGATTTAAATCTTTAGATGCTGCTTTATAGGTCAAGATCCTTCTAATATCACCTGACTCCGAGTTGGAGTTCAAGAGAAGTGCTATCTAGATCAGTTGTCTGTATAAAACAGAAGCATTATCCTTAACCTACTAGATTCAAACCATTTCCCAGGTGACCCGAGCATGAAGAGTGGGAATGGCATCCCCAGCCGCTGTGTGTATTTGGAGGAAATGGCAGTAGACCTCGAAGACCAAGACTGGCTTGATATGAACAACATTGAGCAGGTAGCGTCCACACGCTCCTCGGGTGTGCCGTCAGCAGAAGCTAGCCATGGCTGAGCCTGCTTACCTTTCTCCGGCTCGGCTTTGCTCTCCTCCATCTCCGTGTTGTTCGGGATGTCCCTCTGTCCTTACCGGCCATGGCCACATGTCCAAGTTTACCTACTCTTTAAGACCAGTTAAAATATCATCTTCTCTCTTTCTTCTTTGTATCTTTTCCAAAATCAAAACAGGCATTTTATAGATGCCGAATTAACATTAAAGGAATAAAAGTTTGGTAGGGAAGACATTGACAACTTGTAGGTTAATTTTGTGCATTTAAATTATCTTTATATAAGTTTGAGCGAGGTCAGCAATCACAGAGTAGTAGATTTCACATGAGTTTAATTGCTGATTCTCAATACCATTCGACAAATATTCTTTTAATGCTTACTCTGTGCTAGGGGCAATACTAAACGCTTGAGCTTGATTTAAGGTAACTTTATATATCCCCAATTATGTTGAATATATATCTTCTATAGTAATAAGACACTGGGTCCTGTTTTCCCCTTTATGCTACGTCCTGTTATTCTCAATAACCTGTGTCAGAATTCCCTTTTACATCTTGATGTTCTAGGGTTGGCTTTGCAATGGTTTAGTATTTTTGTTTTTTTGGGTCTTTTCTTAATAGGCTGTCTTTGCTCGCTTACTACTTCAAGATCCCGGCAACCACTTGATCAACATGACTTCTTCTGGGACGCTCAACCTCTCTGCCGATCGAGACGCAGGGGAGAAGCACGCCTTTTGTTACCTTTATTCCTGCTTCCAAAGAGCCAAGGAAGAGGTAACAATGATAATAATTCCCACTGGGCGGTGTATTGTTCTCTTGGCTATGACTTTAGCATGTAAGCCAAAGAGCTGGATCAATGTCTTTTATATCAATGTATATGTATCGGAGTATACCTGCAGCTAGATGCTGGCATGAGACACCATTAGTTTGTTTTCTAAAGGTTTTGTGCTTGGGATCCACCCCTTTCCCAGTGAACCAGTGCCTCTGATTCTTTCTACAAACCTCTTACACATCACAGCTTTAAGAAAGGTCTGATACTCCTTTCCACAGGAGTATCAGTGTAGGCCTAGCGTGGTCACTTCCAGGATTGGAATTCTGACAGGTAGGTGATTCCTTAAAGAATGAACTCTCACGAATGTTCAAGCATCCATGCAAGAGCAGTCTTGTCTGGAACACACTGTCTTTACCCTTCTCTTGCTGTGTACACCCTATTCCAGGTCGTTAACAAGGCTCTTCCCTCTCTTCTCCGTGCTGTTTCCAGATTACCAAGGTTCCAGAGAACCTGCTGCCTTTCGCGGTGCAGTGCAGGAACCTCATCGTGTCTAACACCCGGACCGTCCTCCTCACCCCGGAGATATATGTGGACCAAAACATCCACGAGCAGCTGGTAGACTTGATGTTGGAGGCCGTCCAAGGAGCCCGTGAGTACATGAGCACAGCTGTGCTCACCTACGTTTGATTTCCAAGTTAAACCTCCTCCTAGGGCACTGGAAAGCCTTGGGGCCACTGTGGCCCCAGGAACACTAAGGGTGCGAGGTCACACCTTGAATATCGGTATAGTCACCGACAGTAGAATTGCGAAGAGCAGGGTAAAGGCACATACAATTCCCACAGGCTCTTTCCTCTCTCCTTTGCCTTCTGCTAGATTTTGAAGATGTGACTGAATTTCTGGAAGAGGTCATTGAAGCCTTGCTATTGGATGAGGAAGTTCGAACATTTCCAGAGGTTATGTTCCCGGTGTTTGATATTTTGTTGGGCCGGATAAAAGATCTGGAGCTCTGCCAGATGCTGCTGTACGCGTACTTGGACATCCTGCTCTATCTCACCAGGCAGAAGGACATGGCCAAGGTAACTGGGAGGTGTACACATGCGAGCTGGAGATTTAGTAATGTGTGCTTCCCTGTTCTGAATAAGAAGGATGTGTTGGTTGTTGTGTAGATGTAACTCTTTGAGACCCTCTCATCCCATCACATTTTTCTCATCATACAAACAAATAAGTAGGACTTCTCTTCTCCTACAGGTTTTTGTAGAATACATTCAGCCCAAGGACCTCAGCAATGGGCAGATGTACCAGAAGACATTGCTGGGAGTAATCCTAAATATCTCTTGCTTATTAAAGACTCCGGGTGTCATCGAAAATCATGGCTATTTCTTGAATCCATCTCGCTCCAGCCCCCAGGAGATCAAAGTACAAGAGGCCAACATCCATCAGGTGGAACTGCTTATGGTGTATCGGCCCCGGGCTTAGATTAAGGTTTCTTCAGGAGGCAGGGCACATGCGGCTGCTTGAGCTCGTGGGTGATGTGGGTGGCTTTCTCCTGTAACCGTGTGAGAAAAGCCTCCAGTATGTGCCGAGACCCGAGGAAAACCCTCCTGTGGTTTAGACTAACCTGCTGCTCCGCTTTGTGCGTAGCCAGTCTCTTCCTCTTGGCCCTGGTTTTTCTCACCAACCTGTTTCTTATAACTTTAGCTCATAAACCTTCTCCAGCCTACAAACTAATTTTTTTTTTTCCTGTCCTTCCTTCCTCTGTCCCCTCTATTTGGACTTTCTGGCATTCATTATAGTAGAAGTCTGGCCAGCATGAGGCAGTACATGGTTGAATTTGATTAGTTTGCATCTCCCATACTCACAACTCTCTAACGCCCAGATTTGCAAATTACAGCAGTAGCCACATCCTGCCTGCTTTTGTAAATAGTTTTTAAATAGTTTGATTGAACACAGCCATGCCCATTTGTGTATGTGTGGTTATGGCTTCATTTCATGCCATAACGGTAGAGTTGAATAGTTGCTATAGTAACCATATGGCATGAAAGGCCAAAAATATTTATTATTTAACCCTTTGCAGAAACATGTTACTGACCCTCCTCTAAAGCTCCATCAATTCCCCCTGCAGTTGGGAAGCTTGTCAGGAAATCTCTCATAAAAGCCTAGGAAATTGCTTAAATTAGAACTGTGGATAAGGCATAGGAAGAGTACAGAAAAGATGAGGATTGGCATATTTTTAGAAATTGATTGGCATATTTTTAGAAGTGGCTAAGTTTTGGGAGCAACAAATACTAGGATTGTGAAACTGGAATGTTCTGTGGTTATGTTTTCTGGTTAAACAGTTCATGGCTCAGTTCCATGAAAAGATCTACCAGATGCTGAAGAACTTACTCCAGCTCTCCCCAGAAACCAGACACTGTGTCCTGTCCTGGCTGGGAAACTGTTTACATGCAAATGCAGGCCGCACCAAGATCTGGGCCAACCAGATGCCAGAAATCTTCTTCCAGATGTATGCCTCGGATGCCTTCTTTCTGAACCTGGGTGCTGCTCTCCTGAAGCTGTGCCAGCCATTTTGCAAACCCAGGTCCTCTCGGCTCCTCACCTTTAACCCCACTTACTGTGCACTGAAGGAGTTGAATGATGAAGAACGAAAAATAAAAAATGTACACATGAGAGGTAGGGGAGTACTGGGCTTCCCAAAACGTGTGTGGGTGTGTGTGTGTATGTGTGTCTGTGTGTGTGTGTGTGTGTGTGTGTGTGTGTGTCTAAAACACTCACAACCTTATCTTTTCTCATAAAAAGGTGACTTGTAAGAAGATGAGGCAGACAGAAGAGCTATTACAAATTTTACAAGGACAGACTTTTTAAAATAACACTGGTGGCTTTTAGATGTGCTTTAGTGAGACCTTCTTTCTGAATTTGGAAACCTTGGGTATTCATTCATTATTTCTTTAAAAATGAGTGAAGCACAGTCCTTATCCTTTATGAATTCAGAAATGCCAGGAGAAGGGAGTTAGATTGACAGGTAACCAAATATGGTGTAGGGCTGAGCTATGGGAACACAGAGAAAGGAGAGAAATTCTACAGAAGTTGGAGGTCTTCATAGCTGATCTTCGAGAGATGAAAGCGGCAAAAGAATCTAATAAAAGGGCAATATGCTAATTAGACCGGACAGAGCCACGGTGGCAGGGGCTGAGGCAGAGGAGGTTAGGGGCAAGCAGGCCGGCAGGGGAGAGCAGTTAGGGGGATCAGGCCGGCAGGGGAGAGCAGTTTGGATGATCAGGTCAACAGGGGAGAGCAGTTAGGGGGATCAGGCTGGCAGGGGAGAGCAGTTAGGGGGATCAGGCCAGCAAGCAGGTGAGCGGTTAGGAGCCAGTGGTCCTGGATTGCGAGAGAGATGTCCAACTGCTGGTTTTAAACTGGCAGTTGGACATCCCCCAAAGAGTCCCAGATTGGAGAGAGTGAAGGCTGGGCTGAGGGATCACCCCACACATACTCCCACACCCCCATGCACAAATTTGGTGCAAAGAGCCTCTAGTCCCTTTATAAGAGGGAATATCAAGTATAAAGGTACAAAGCTATGGAGAGGCTTGACTAAGGAATAGTGAGAAGGTCATTGTGGCTAAAGCAAGGGGTAGGTGGGACGAGCAGATGGTATAGGAACAGCAGGAAATGAGTCTGGGGAGGCAGAAGATTGAGACCAGATTAGAGAAAACAGCAATACAGAGAAGTGGAAAGAAAGCATTCATAATCCTACTACTCAGAATGAATCATGCTTAATTTCGGTGAATGTATTTCCTCCCAGTTTTATAACTCTTCGAGTTGTAAAAGTAATACATGTTCAAAAACAAATAATCTTAAATACAGAAAAAAACAAAAGAGCTACAGTGATCCATTCTCTAACATCTGAAAAATCTAGTTACCTCATTCCTTTTAATTTTTGGTATTTTATGATTAAGCTAAAGACATTTAACTGCATTTCTGTGGATAGTGAGAGCCAAAAGATATTTTTAGACAAAGGAATGGTGATGAGATAAGATTTGTTTTTAAGAAGATGCTACTTTGAAAAGGAAGATGTCACTGGTAGCAGTAGGAAGTGGAATAGAGTCGGGACCTAGGAGAGAGGCTTCTGGCAAACTGCTTACTGTGCCCTCTGACTTCTTTGAGGTTTGGACAAAGAAACCTGCCTTATCCCAGCTGTGCAGGAGCCAAAGTTCCCCCAGAGCTACAACCTGGTGACAGAGAACCTGGTCCTGACAGAGTACACCTTACACTTGGGATTTCACAGGTAACTCCTGACGGCACTAGGAAAGGCCATGCAGTCGTGTTGATGAGCAGCAAGTTCAGAGGCGCCTCACACGACCTCCTTCTCCGGAAGGCTCGCATTAGGTCTGGTAGAAAAAGGGCATTATTTGCATTTGTTGTGTTTACATGAATTGGTTTTCTCCAAATAACTTGAATTTATTTTTAATTATTGACCTATTAAACTTATTAAAATTTAAGATGCACTAGTATTTTTCTTTAAACTTGCAAATTTTAAAATCACTGTCTTCTATTGTTATCTAAGTGGAATTGTTTTCATTTAATATTTCACTCTCTGCTCTTGAATATCCATTACTTACTACTCCTGATGAAAAAAGACTAAGCTCTACTCTATGGTGTAGAGACAAGATTAAAGAAATGTTTATAAGGGATTTCAATAAGGTCAGTAAGACCACAAAAGATCCACATTTCAAAGATAAAGGGAATTCTAGAAGTGTGAAAGTTCAAGAACTAGAGGGTATAATTTTCGAAAATGGTTCTGGTTCTAGCTAGCTGTAGTCATTCTAGAATTTTGTTTCCTTCTGGTTCAGCTGATTGTGACTATGAGTATAAGTAAGAAGAGAAAAAAATTACTCATAGTTGTAGTCTACATCACAGGTGGGGAATCTTTTTTCTGCCAAGGGCTGGTTGCATATTTATAACATCATTCACAGACCACACAAAATTATCAGTTTAAAAATTAGCCTGCTGCCCTATTGGGTTTAGCTCAGTGGATAGAGCATCAGCCTGTGGACTGAAGGGTCCCAGGCTCGATTCTAGTCAAGGGCACGTACCTTGGTTGCAGGCACATGGCCAGTAGGAGGTGTGAGGAGGCAGCTGATTGATGTCTCTAACTCTATCCCTCTCCCTTCATCTCCATAAAAAGTCAATGAAATATAAAATTAAAAAATTAGCCTGCTATATGTGGGCTAATTTAATTAATTATTAAATGTGTAGGCATTTAATTAATTCACCCCTATTGCCGTGGCAGGGCCAGACCAAATGATTTCGTGGGCTGGAGGTTCCCCACCTCTGGTGTGTAGGATGGGATATTGAGGGTGGCCGTTTTTTAATATCTTATCAGAGTATTTAAATTGACAGTGCATTGTTCAAAACTTAGCAGATCTCTTAAAAAATGAAATTACATCTTTATTAGAGAGTTTTTCTATCCCTCTCATTGACAATTTAAATGAGACAATAGATAACAATTGAGCATGTTTTTGGCCTGTTCAGCCACCTAGATTCAAACACAGAAATGAATGTCATCTAGTTTCCCAGTAAGGCTACCTCCCCCAGACATCACTGACAGGGCCGAAGAAGGCGGTTTGGACTGACACACAGAGAAACGACCCATAACATTGAATTGTGGGTCTTCCTTCCTTAGAGAACATTTGGCTGGCCCTTTGTGGCAGACAAGACACTGAACAGCAGAAGCTTTTACGTTGCCCCGGTGGCTGCTTGCTTATAGGTGGTCTTTATTACGGTAGAACCTCTTTTTAATCCTCACTCCTTGGGGATTTTTCCATTGATTTTTAGAGAGAGTGGAAGAAAGGCGGGGAGGAGAGAGAGACACATGGACTGGTTGCCTCCCACATGCGCCTGGACCGGGACAGGGATCGAACCTTGGCCAGGAATCAAACCTGCAACAGCCGATGCTCTAGCCGCTTAGTTACCAACCAGGGCTTTCGTTCTCTTCTAACCATGGGAAACTGTCCATATCACTCTCCAAGTACAGTCATTGCACTTGCGGGTTGTCGAACTCTCCTCCTGGGCTTCTTGTACTTTGCTTAGTAATTTATTTGACATAGTAATATCCCAGCCTGCACCCTGCCTACTATTTGTAATTACTTGTTATTATGTTGAAGACTGGTAACATTTTCCAGTGCTGTGCCCCCTGCCTCTTTCTTGTCAATAATTTTCATGAGTGTCTTCTGTATTGTCTTAATTGCAACTTCCTACATCCTAAAAGAGATACTAGAATAAATTAATGAGGATTTGACCCTAGCCAGTTTGGCTTAATGGATAAAGTGTTTGCCTGTGGACTGAAAGATCCCATATTTGATTCTGGTCAAGGGCACATGCTCAGGTTGCAGGCTCAATCCCAAGTAGGGGGCATGAAGGAGGTAGCTGATCAATGATTCTCATTATTGATGTTTCTATCTATTTCTCTCCCTCTCCCTTCTTCTCTGAAATTAATAAGAAATATATATATATATATATAAAATATATATATATATATATATATATATATATATATATATATATATATATTTTTTTTTTTTAAGATACAAAAAACTATTATAAAAATAGAAAAGACCCAGTGCACAAATTTGTACACCAGTGGGGTCCCTCAGCCTGGCCTTGAGGAATCAGGCCGAAACAGGCTCTCCGACATCCCCCAAGGGGTCCCAGATTGTGAGAGGGCACAGGCCAGGCAGAGGGACCCAGTGGTGCACGATCAGAGACGGGGAGGGACACCAAAGGTGGGCCAGCCAGGGAGTGACTGTGGAAGGGCTCCAGGGTGTATCTGGCCCATCTTGCTCTGTCCCAGTCAGCTGGACCCCAGCAGCAAGCTAACCTACCGGTTGGAATGTCTCCCCCTGTTGGTCAGTGCGTATCATAGTGACTAGTTGAGCATCCTTAGCATATCATTAGCATCTTACACTTTGATTGGTTGAATGGCCAACTGGAAGATCAGACACTTAACATATTAGGCTTCTATTATATAGGATGAGGATTTGTATTTCTGGAATAGAAAGTACTCAGCTATCCCTATATGAGCCTCCTGACCCAGTCTCTTCTGCTTTCTTGGAGGCAGGTTGCATGATCAGATGGTAAAAATCAACCAAAATCTGCACCGGCTGCAGGTCGCCTGGCGGGAAGCTCAGCAAAGCTCCAGCCCTGCGGCTGACAACCTGCGTGAGCAGTTTGAGCGACTGATGACCATCTATCTCTCTACCAAGACCGCCATGACTGAGCCACAGATGCTACAAAACTGTCTCAACTTGCAGGTGTCCCTGGCCGTTCTCCTGGTTCAGCTGGCCATAGGCAATGAGGGCTCCCAGCCCATAGAGCTGACTTTCCCTCTGCCCGATGGCTACAGCTCCTTGGCCTATGTGCCAGGTAAGCGGGCCTTCTTAGGAACTTCCTGTTTATAGCCACCGGGTTTGACTGGGTCACTTTGGAAGTGAAATCCTTTCTTATCATCCAGCTGTTTTTGGACAAACTCATACTTGCAGATGCCATCTCCTGGTGAATGCGTGGGGGCTGCCAGCTTCGTCCTCAGCCTGTGGCCTCCGCTGTGCACATCAGAAAACAGAGGCTTTTTAGAGTCAGGGGTTCCAGCTGTCAGTTTCCATCATTAATATTGTTTGTTGCTCAACTTGGAAATTTATCTAACTCTCCCTGTGCTAGTCTTTATGGGGAAATCATTTCCTATTGGTTAACCAGGAAGGGAGATTGTATATATATGTGGTTGACAGGTGTTGTCCATCAAAATCAGATTATATGTTTTTGATAACTGTAATGGTCATCCATTGTTGAGTAATAAATTATCCCAAAACGCAGAAACTGTAAAACAGCAAACAGCCCACACCGTGTCTGGTGTCAGGGACCCAGGAGCAGCCTCGCTGCATGGCTCCCATTCTGGGTCTTGTGTGAGGTTCGGCCATCGCTGACGGATCTGCTCACAAGCCTGTCCCGCGGTGCCTGCTCGCCTCTTCTAGACCACGCAGGTCCCTCCTCAGTGCCACTCCTGATCGGGCGGCTGGCTCCCCACAGAGCAAGGGGCCATGGGTGCTGCTCTTACAACTGATCATGAAACGGGCATGCCACCAGCTGTGTATGCCTCCGGGCGTGTCTTCTACCCTGAGGAGTGCAGGGCGGGACGCCAGGCATGAGTGCCAGGAGGTTAGGACCACCCTGGAGACTGGCTAGCTCCGTCACCTAGTGAGTCTTTAAGATTTTTCAGGCGCCTAAAGGGCTGTTCATGCACAGTTATGGTTGAGTGTGGAAAACTCATATACTCTCTGAAACTGCCCTGATGTGTTAACAGTATTTTTTGTGTCCCTACTGCTCTTTCATTATTGGATAAAAATAAAAATTGACACTTTTAAAGGATACTCTACACTTACTAACTTATCACCCTTCCTAGCACCTACAAGACATTTGGGTACTGGAACCTCACTGAGTACAGTGTGGACTTGTATGTACAGAAAGTCAGGCATTTGGCTGATTCCAGTGACTTTTTTTCCAGAATTTTTTGCAGATAACCTGGGTGACTTCCTCATCTTCCTCCGCCGCTTTGCCGATGACATGTTGGAGACGTCCGCAGACTCCCTGGAGCACGTGCTTCACTTCGTCACCGTCTTCACGGGCAGCATAGAAAGGTGACCGCTGGGGTTCCGCTTCCCTGGTTAGAGCCGCAGAGCGTTCGGAGACTTCTTCCCGAGCACAAAGCAGCCGCTCCAAGGGTTCCCAGAAGCTGTTACATTGTCAGTCACCTGACCATCCTGTGGGGAGCCAGAAACCCCACTCTTGCCAGGCAAAGGCCTTTGCCCACAGGGAACTTGAACTTTCCGGTAAGGTGCCTGATCGGCATGCACTGCCTGCCAGCTGGTGACGCTCACCTGATGCAGAAGCCTGGCCCGTGGCAGCCAGGTGCTGGTGGTCTTTAATAACCGCAGGAGACAGTTTGCTCATGGCCAGTTTGGGTGAGCAGTAAACTTAGGTAAATGCTTTCTGACTTCAAGGTTTGCTCGTTCATTGCTTCTAGTCTTTGCCTAAGGACGATTCTCACTGGCGGCAGATGCCTCTCTGGTTTGTTCTGCTGCCTCGGCCCGAGGAGGCAAACAGTGTGTGCGCAGTGTAGATCGCTCCGCGGGGAAGAGAATGAGCCCCAGTCCCTGGAGCCATGTCAGGGAGAAGTAGGTTAAGCGACCCTTCACTGTGCTGAGCTGGTCTGATGAGAAAACATAGTCAGCAAGTTCTTACCGGGCGCCTGTGAGCACCCAGGTGACGGAGAGCAGCTCCCTGGGCCTTGCTCGGAGGCTTGGAAAGGCAGCGCGTTCCTGACGAAGCAGTCAGCCTAGTAAGCAGGAGAGAACGCGTTACAGAGAAGCACACGATGGCTTAGAGTAAACACAGACCCAAGCACTTATCCTCACTTGGTAAGCTGTCACCTCAAAGCTGGATGGTATCCCCTGCACTGTCCCCCAGAAACGGACGCCTTGAAACCGCAGAGCCCTGTCCCACGTGCCGCCATGGGATGTCTGCTCCCGTGGAGACAGTTTGACTCCGTGCTGGACGCTTTGGGCATGTGGTTGTAGAGGGCACGGCCACGCCACCTGACCTAAGAAGGAGAGAAAGGAGGGTTCAGTTACTCTTCAGCCAGGCCCCGCACTGCTGTCCACCAGTATTTTTGGAGAAATGAAAATCTGAAGTGGCTGAAATGAATGATGATGAAGATAAATAGTTTTCAAACAGCCCTCAAATGGCATAGAAGAAGAAAGCACAAGAGACAAATACGTGTTCAAGGGAAAAAAGGGAAAGAAAGAGCAGTTGTGGTTCTGAATGTCTTGTGTGTACTTCTGGGAAATGTGGTTTTATTGGGAGGGCTGCTGTTTTGCGTTTAGGAAGATGTGGTGGAATGCAGTGCTGAAGGGTTGTCAGAGAGAGCACTGTAGGGCCCAGTCCTCGGGAGCAGTCTGGCTCTGGCTCGCCTGGCGCCGCTGAAACAGGCATGCGCTCGGCTCACGCTGCCTCTTCCAGTTTTCCTCACAGTCACTCTGCCTGCAGAGAAGGGTCATCAGTGACTTCAAGTTTAAGTACTAAACCAAAGTCTTTGTTGTCACCATCAAATAAAGAAAACATTTTTTTAAATCTACCCACTCAGCTTGCTTTCTGCCCTGTTTGCAGGATGAAGAATCCCCACCTGAGGGCCAAGCTGGCCGAGGTGCTGGAAGCAGTGATGCCCCACCTGGATCAGACCCCGAGTCCCCTGGTGTCGAGTGTGTTCCACCGGAAACGTGTGTTCTGCAACTTTCCCTACGCGGCCCACCTTGCGGAAGCTCTGATCAAGGTCTTTGTGGACATTGAATTCACAGGTAAAGCAGACAAGAACTGAAAAGCTGATACTTGTGCAATTTCATAGTTTGGTCAGTATCTGAATATCAGAAAAGCGTCATCAGCCATCATTTATTGACATCCTACTGTGTGCCACCTGACTTTGTCACAATCTGGAAAATTTTACTGTATTATCCTCATTTTTACATATAAGGACATGGATCCTCAAAAAGATTAAATTGTTTGTCATACAACTGAGTGGTAGGCTTAAGTCTGCCTCCTCAAAAAAAAAGCACATACTCTTACCAACTTTATTATATACGGCTTGATCAAACCATACTCAAATAAATTAGGCTGTCCAATTAAAACCCGAGTCTATTTTCTCTGCCTCAAAATTGCAGAATAGTGGATAATGAGACTGTGCTGGTTGAGATATTCTTTTATCCAAACTGTGTAACAGTCTAATTTGTTAGATTAAGAGTAGCAGCAGGCTCCCTGGCCAGTGTTGCTCAGTTGTTAGAGTGTGAGTGTCAACCTGCACACCAAAGGGACAAGGGTTGGGTTCCAGGTCAAGGGAATCCTAGGTTGCGATTTGCTCCCCGGTCGAGGCTGGAGTGCGTTCCAGAGGCAACCAGTCAACCTCAATCTTTCTGTCTTTCTCTTTCCCCACCCCGCTTCCTTTCTCCCTCCCTCCCACTTGCTCTGAAAAACAAAGGGGAAAAGTATTCTCCAGTGAGGATTAACAAACAAGAAAACCGGCAGGCAAAACTCCCTTCTCTCTTGGCCTTTTGAGCTCTAACCCTGAGATGCTGTCTGAGTAAACAATACCCCGTCTCAACCAGAAAACAGGACGTTAAGCAGTTATTTAAGACCCTTTTTATTTTTTTTTATTTTTTTATCTTCACCGAGGTTTGTTTGTTTTTGTTTCTTTGTTTTTGTTTTAAAGAGAAGAAGAGAGAGAGAGAGAATCATCAATGTGAGAAACACCAGTTGGTTGCCTTTGTACATGCTTCACTCAGGGATTAAACCCACAACCTAGGTGTGTGCCCTGACCAGAAATTGAACTCACAACCTTTAGATGAATGGGATGGCGTCCCAACCAATGAGTCACACTGGCCAGGGCAAGACCCCTCTCAAAGGGGATGTCCTTGTATCCAATGACAAATACAACATTTATTATTTCTTTAATTTTATTTGTCCATCACACTTTACATTCAATATTATTTGCCGAAACCAATTTGGCGTAGTGGATAGAGCACTGGCCTGTGGACTGAGGGTCCCTAGTTCAATTCCGGTCAAGGGCATGTACCTTGGTTTCGGGCACATCCCCAGTAGGGGGTGTGCAAGAGGCAGCTAATCTGTGATTCTTTCTCATCGAGTTTCTAACTCTCTATCCCTCTCTCTTCTTCTCTGTAAAAAATCAATAAATATATATATATATATCCACATACATATAATTTTATACTAGCTTGAGGTGTATCGCATAGTTCTTGGACAATTATAAAGAGACATTTAATTTTTTTAAATATCTTTGTGTTGCTTTTTTTAGAGAGAGAAACATGGATAAAAACCATCAATCGGCTGCCTCCTGCATGCCCCTACTGAGGATCAAGCCCGAAACCCAGGCATGTGCCCTAACTGGGAACCAAATAGGCAACCTCTTGGTTCATAAGTAAATGCTCAACTATTGAGCCACACCAGCTGAACATATTGAACATTTTATTGACTGCCTTCTCATCTTTAGATTTTGATTTTGTCACTTGTTCATCTGAGCCTTGGTTTCCTCATCTATAAAATGGGTTGAAGTGAAATAATGCATGTAAATCTTCATAATATATAAGAAATTGAGCAATAGCCAAAACCGGTTTGGCTCAGCGGATAGAGCATTGGCTTGCGGCCTAAAAGGTCCCAGATTCGATTCTGGTCAAGGGCATGTACCTTGGTTGCGGGCACATCCCCAGTGGGGTGGTATGCAAGAGGCAGCTGATCGATGATTCTCTCTCATCGATGTTTCTGACTCTCTGTCCCTCTCTCTTCTTCTCTGTAAAAAATCAATGAAATATATTTAAAAAAAAAAAAAAAAAAAAGAAAGAAAGAAAAAAGAAATTGAGCAATAAATTGCTGCAGTTACTTTATTATCTCATAACACATAAGTTATACAATAAATTGCTGCAGTTATCTCAGAATATATAATCCCTTATGTCAAAGGAAGTGAAAGTTGCAGAAGGTTAAGAGATTTGCATTATGTGGAGCGGAAGGAAAACCTAGGTCTTCTAACTCCATACCTCATGCTCTTTCTTTATTATGTGACCCGACCTGTATGCTCTAGTGGTCAAATGCAATATAAGCCTCAGATGTTCAGCTTCTGTCCTGATTTTTCAGAGTAAGAAAGAAACGGCCCTGGCCAGAGGGCTCAGTGGATAGAGTGTTGGCCTGCAGGCTGAAGGCCCCAGGTTTGATTCCTGGTCAGAACACATGCCCACGCTGCAGGCTCGATCTCTAGTGGGGTCATGCAGGAGCAGCCAATCAGTGCTTTTCTCCCACATTGATGTTTCTATCTCCCTTCCCTTCCTCTCTGAAATCAATAAAAATTTATTGAAGGAAGGGAGGGAAGAGAAAGGTAGGGAAGGAAAAAAGAAAAGAGAGGAGAGAAAGGAAGGAAAGGGGAAGGAATGAAGGGAAAGGGAAGAGCTGGCCACATCGCTGGCATGTCACCTGGAGATTGTGGGGATTATTTGATTTCCCATCTGCACGTGGCTGTCTGCACGGTGGCAGGCAGAGGCTCATTCAGAGTCTGATACTCTATTTCGTGTGGAAGCGTTTGTTCCCTTGGCTTTTATTGTGCAGCTCAATCCTCGTCCTCCTCTGTGTAAGTATCCTTTTGCTGTCAGTGAGGAAGTAAGCAAATGCTTGCCTACAGATCTAGGCCTTTATGAACTCTCAAGGCAGATGTTGTCAGCCTTGACACGTTCAGAGTGAGGGGAAATGGCTCCACATAGACATAAGCTCTTACTCTCTCATGGCCCCTTTAACACCGTGGCTGTGTTTGTGCTCTTGCCTTACTCCAGGAGACCCCCATCAATTTGAACAGAAGTTCAATTACCGCCGTCCCATGTATCCCATCCTAAGGTACATGTGGGGAGCAGATACCTATCGGGAGAGCATTAAGGTGAGAGCTTTCGATGAAATTAAACTACATTATCAGAGTTTCTGTTTCAGATAAACCCCATAAGTTGCGGTCCAGTACTAAAATGGTTTTCTCTTGGACTGGGGCTTACAGGATTTGGCTGACTATGCCTCCAAGAATTTAGAAGCCATGAATCCCCCACTTTTTCTCCGCTTTCTTAACCTGCTAATGAACGATGCCATCTTCCTTTTGGATGAAGCCATACAGGTAAAAACACCAAACAGATTTACTGCTCCTATACTTTCACATCATGCCCGGTACATACTTTTAACCTTTTCATCACAACAGAGCAATCATCATGCTTCTAGTACCACTCTTAGGCATCAAAATCTGCAAGTAGCAGAGTACTACCAGCCTTCCCATTACAGAGCTCAAGTGTGGTTTCATTAAAGACCAAAAGCAAGGCTCATTGAAGCCTCGAGCTGGGATGATGCTTGGCAAAAGGTAGAAAAGAACTTATGATGAGGCCAAACTGAGGTGGACTGTCAGAACTCATGCGGCGAGGCCCCCAGGAGCCCGGAGCCCGCATTTGGTCAGTGACTTTCTCTCAGTCTTTTCCATCTCAGCACATTAGTAACTGGCTCTCTGAGGCAGGGCTTCTTATCCCTCTCCTGACAGACTGTGCTTTTTACACCACTACGTGAAAAATAACTAGCTTGGGTTGTTTTTTCATGTAAAGACTAACTTGCCAATATTCTCCATCTCTCTCCACTACCTCCCAAATCAATACTCTCCATCCCTCCACTACCTCCCAAATCTTTAGCTGCATAGAAACATGGCTTTCACCACATGGACAGCTGGTGCCTCTCAGCCCCTTGGGGTATTGTATCCTGGACCATCCCTATGGAGCTGCCTGTTGCTCAAGTAAAAACTTCCTGGGTCTGCAAAGGGACATGCAGGGCAGTGACCAGCTGGAGAGGAGGCAGGAAAATCCTGAGGGTAGCCTGTTGGAAAGCCAGGAGCTCCTCCCATTGATTAGCAATCTCTCAGCAGCTTTAATTTGTGAGAAATTTTTCTTACATATATATATACATACATGCATGCCTAAATGACCACTTGACCATTCCGACCGGTAGTTATGACATGCACTAGCCACCAGGGGCAGACACTCAATGCACAGGCATAGAAACATGGAACAGACTGATGAATTGCAGAGGGAAGGGAGGAGGAGGGATGGGAAGAGATTAACCAAAGATCTTAAATTCATAATAGAGGCCCAGTGCACGGATTCGTGCACTGGTGGGATCCCTCGGCCTGGCCTGTGGGGATCAGGCCAAAACCAGCAATCTGACATCCCCCGAAGAGTCCCAGATTGCGAGAGGGTGCAGGCCAGGCCGAGGGACCCCACTGGTGCATGAATCCATGCACCGGGCTTCTAGTAATCCTGTAAGCCTTTAGATAGATTTTCTTAGAAAACAATAAACAGACCCTTTAAGCAAGAGCTGTGTGATACAAACAAAGACCCAGATGGCATTTTCATGGGACTGTAATTTTAACATGTTTGCTGTAACAGCAAAGGGGGGGGGGGGGGTTCTAAATATGGTTCTTCCTGGTGTTTTGCATGTTTGAAAAAGCTTTGTTTTTTATACAGTTTTGGGGGGTTTATTTTATTTTTTCCATCATTCAGAAAGGGTTCATTTGCTTTTTCATCCTGTTTATGTTTGCCTGGGTTTCATATATTATACTGCTTATTCTCTACTAGAGGCCCGGTGCATGAAAATTCATGCACTGGAAGAGGTGTCCCTCAGCCCGGCCTGCCCCCTCTCACAGTCCAGGAGCCCTCAGGAGCACAAGGCAACCTGGCAATCAGGGCAAGGTGATGCCCCATCATACCTCTGCTGCTGTCACTGCCAGCAGTGCAAGCCTCGGCTGGTCCTGGTTACCTGAGCCTTGGCCAGACGTGGGCGGCTGGGCAGCTGCCATCTGAGGCTTGCCTGGGCCTCGGGCCTGCCCTGGGTGGCTGGGGGACTGAGGGGACTTGGGGACTCCGGAGGCAGGTGCATGGCAAGAGGAGACTGAGCACTGCCATCTTGTGGCTGTGGGCGCTGCCATCTTTGAGGACGTGGCAGTCATGTAGCATATTCCCTCTTTATTGGTTGTTGGCGCAACCATCTTTATGATTCTGTGAGGATCAATTAGTAGCTTATTCCCTCTTTATTAGATAGGATAATATTTCTAAGGGAATTGCCAATAAGTCTACCTAGGCTGAAACAAAACTATATGGAGCCACAATTTTTCTTTTCCCCCAAAATATTTCTCTTTTAGCTTCAGCCCTCTGCTGAGAAATAAAGCCTCATGTCTCTGTGGCCATGCCAGCATAATGGCCTTGATTTTATTTTTTATTTATTTATTTTTTAATATATCTTATTGATTTTTTACAGAGAGGAAGGGAGAGAGATAAAGAGCTAGAAACGTCGATGAGAGAGAAACATCGACTAGCTGCCTCTTGCACACCCCCTACCAGGGATGTGCTTGCAACCAAGGTACATGCCCTTGACCGGAATCGAATCCGGGATCTTTCAGTCCACAGATAGACGCTCTACCACTGAGCCAAACCGGTTTCGGCATTTGGCCTCAATTTTAAATGGGACCTCAAGTCTGGTCTTCCCTTCAACTGAACTTCTCTGATTTCCATAGTATCTGAGCAAGATAAAGATCCAGCAGATTGAGAAGGACCGAGGTGAATGGGACAGTCTGACTCCAGAGGCCCGCCGAGAGAAGGAAGCTGGCCTGCAGATGTTCGGACAGCTGGCACGTTTCCATAACATCATGTCCAATGAAACAATTGGCACCCTTGCCTTTCTGACATCAGGTAAGTACACAGAGCACTGCTTTCCCCAGAGATTCAGCAGCCAAGATCTGCTTCATTTGTGGAACCAGCCCAGCTGGAACTAAGTATTCGGACTCTGTGCCGGTGCCCTCGCAGTATGGGAGAGAAGTGAACCACTGCAAAGGCTCGGGAACCATGAGGCTGCCTGGTTGACATGGGGTGAGGAAAGGCCACCTCACTGCTGCCGGAAAGCACTCATGGGTGTAGTTCCTTAAGGACAGTGAGCCATGTGAACATAGCAGGTGCAGAGGAGAGAATTAACCTGAACACTAGTCTGGAACTCTGATTGATCCTGGTAGATCAGACAGACATTCATCTCACCCCTCTGCAGCTACGCAGTCACCGCTTGCCACACATGGCTATCAGACTTTTAAAATGTGCCTACTTTGAATTGAGATGTGCAAAAAGGAAATACATACTGCAAAACTTAGTATTAAAAAAGAAATATTTATTAATAATTTTTATATTGATTTCATGCAAAATGACAACCAAGAATCACCAGACATTTAAGGAAATCTAGCATGAAACACAGATAATATATGAAAACTTTTTTTCTTTCAGTTTATTCATTTTTAGAGAGAGAAAGGGAGAGAAAATTAGTGCACCTGGCCAGTGTGGCTCAGCGTTGAGCACTGACCCAGAAACCAAGAGATTACTGGTTTTTTATTCCCAGTCATGGCACATGCCCAGGTTGCTAGCTCAGTCTGCAGTAGAGGGTGTACAGGAGGCAGCCAGTTGATAATGTTTATCTCTCATCAATGTTTCTATCTCTGTCCTTTGCCCTTCTTCTCGCTCTAATAAAACACATATTTTAAGAAAATCAATATGAGGACCAAATGTCAAACGGCTGCCTCCTACATATGTCCCACTGGGGATTGACCCCACAACCCAGGCATGTGCCCTTAACAGGAATTAAACTGGCAACGTTGAGGCGTACAGGACAACGCCCAACCAACTAAGCCACACCAGCCAGGGTAATACATGAACACTTTCATAAACTTGTTCATACATAATCTCAGAGGGATAAGAGAAGATAGAGCTTCAGTAGAAGGGTCAGACATAAATTCAAGGAACTCTTGAGAACAGAACAGAAAGGACTCCCACAAGCACATTAGAATTAAAATTATACAGCCCGGCCTGTGTGGCTCTATGATGGAGTGTTCAACCTATGAACCAGGAGGTCACGGTTCCATTCCCGGTCAGGGCACATGCCCAGGTTGCAGGCTCAATCCTCAGTGTGGGGCTTGCAGAAGGCAGCCAATCAATGATTCACTCTCATCATTGATGTTTCTGTCTCTCCCTCTCCTCTCTGAAAGCAATAAGAATAAATTGGGATGTGGGGGGCATTGCATGTAAAAACAAAAAACTAAACTACAGAACAACCATCATTGAGAACCTCCTGAAATCTAGCTGAATGAAAGTCATATAACTAAGCATTTAAAGAAGCCAAGTCAGGTGGAGATGCTGAATGGGCTTGATCCATGCCAACATGTAACAGATAAAATATGAGAGGGAGCCCTGGCCATTGTGGCTTAGTTGGTTGGGCATTGTCCCATGCACTAAAAGGTTGCCAGTTCAATTCCCGGGCAGAGCACATGCCTGGGTTTCAAGCTCAATCCTCAGAGGGGGGATTAGGGAGGACATCCAGGAGGCAGTGATGTTTTGCTCTCACATTGATGTTTCTCTCTCTACCTCTCCCCCCGTCTCTCAAAATCAATTATTTTAAATCTTAAAAAAAAAAAAAAAAGGAAGGAAGGAAGGAAGGAAGGAAGGAAGGATATCTCTGCTACAGAGACTCTCCCAGAGGAGCAAGAGGTCCCAGTCCCACATGAGGCCCAGGGTTCCAGAGCCAAGATGAGATGTCTCCATAACTTCTGCCTGAAAAACCAGTGGGGATTGAGGCTGATGGAGAGTAACACTGCTGGAGTCCCAGGCAGTTCCTCCTAAAGGACCCACACATGCATTCACTCAGACTCCCTCTTAGTTCCAGCTATGGGGCAGCATCTTGAAAGGCACCAGGGACATCCAGGGAGGAACTGAACTGTCTGGCACCAGGTTGAGAGCTGGAGGAGCAGCTTTCTTCCAGAGTGAAGTGCTGGCAGAGGCCATAGTTCCTTTGCTGAGCCCTCCCCTGCACAGAGCCAACAGGTAGTGGCCATATCTGAGTTTCAATCAACTGGCTATTAATGTTCAACACACCTGATGACTCTCTGAGACCCCTCCCCACCAACTTGCCAATTAACACAGGCTGATTCCAGTGACTTTTCCAAATCAATGGCCTTCAAATTTACCTGAAGTCTCTCAAACAAGCAGCATCTGGCCTCAGTGTTCCCCATACTTCTGCTAAGTTGCCCCAGGCCAAGCACTAGCAGCAGCTGGCCTTGGTTTGCAATTTGGCCTCTCCTGAGCATCTCCAAGCCCAGCACAGGTAGCAACTATCTCCACAGGCAGTACACGGGCAGTGACTGTCCTTGACCTGCACCTCCTGGTAGGCCCCAGAGCCAATATACTTGGTAGATAACTTCAGACCACATCAAAGTACCAGCCAACCACCTCACAAGTTACACACAGAAGGGGCAGATTCAGTGGGCACCACAGACCTGCTGAAGTAAGTCCTGCTTCAAGGGGTGGGCCCCTGCACAGCTAATCCTACACCGTGGTGGCAGCCAGTCCTTGCAGCTGATCAGCCTGGGAGTAAACTTCTTCCATTTACATGCCAACAGCAATTAAGGCTCACCAACAACAGGAAGGTGTTCACAGCCCACATGGTGGCACACATGGAGTACCCAGCTGGGTGAACAGGGAGGCTGTGCCACTGGAACCTACAGGGCATCTACTACATAAGGACACTCTACCAAGCCTGAGAGGCGGAGCAGCTCTACCTAACACATAGAAACAAACACAGGGAGACAGCCAAAATGAGGGGACATGTCCCAAGTGAAAGAACAGAACAAAACTCCAGAAAAGGAAGTAAAAAAAAATACAAGCAATCTACCATTTGCAGAGTTCAAAACATGGTTAAAAGAATGTTCAGTGAAATTAGAGGAAGAGTAGATGAGGTTAGTGAGAACTTCAACAGGATAAAAAAAGGACATGGGGCTCTCTGCTCCTCCTGTTCGTCAGACAGCCTCTCCTCCTGCACTGTGCCAGCAGCCACAACCTGAAGGTCGAAGTGAACGGATTTGGCCTCGTTGGGCGCCTGGTCACCAGAGCTGCTTTTAACTCAGGCAAAGTGGGTATTGTCACCATCAATGACCCCTTCATTGACCTCCACTACATGGTCTACATGTTCCAGTATGATTCTGTTTGTGGCAAGTTCAAAGGCACAGTCAAGGCTGAGAACAGGAAGCTTGTCATCAGTGGAAAATCCCATCTCCATCTTCCAGGAGTGAGATCCCACCAACATCAAATGGGGTGATGCTGGTGCTGAGTATGTGGTGGAGCCCACCAGTGTCTTCACTGCCAGGGAGAAGGCTGGGGCTCACCTGAAGGGAGGAGCCAAGAGGGTCATCGTCTCTGCCCCTTCTGCAGATGCCCCCATGTTTGTGATGGGTATGAACCATGACAAGTATGACAACTCCCTCAAGATTGTCAGCAATGCCTCCTGCACCACCAACTGCTTGGCCCCCCTGGCCAAGGTCATCCATGACAACTTTGGCATCATGGCAGGACTCATGGCACAGTCATGCTGTCACCGCCACCCGGAAGATCTTGGATGGCCCCTCTGGAAGCTGTGGCGTGACAGCTGAGGGGCTGCCCAGAACATCATTCCTGCTTCTACTGGTGCTGCCAAGGCTGTGGGCAACGTCATCCCTAAGCTGAATGGGAAGCTCACTGGCATGGCCTTCTGTGTCCCCACCCCCAATGTGCAGTTGTGGCACTGACCTGCCACTTGGAGAAAGCTGCCAAATTGATGATATCAAGAAGGTACTGAAGCAGCGTCAGAGGGCCCCCTCAAGGGCATCCTGAGCTACACTGAGGACCAGGTTGTGTCCTGCGAATTTAACAATGACAGCCACTCCTCCACCTTTGATGCTGGGGCTGGCATTGCCCTCATGACCACTTTGTCAAGCTCATTTCCTGGTCTGACAATGAATTTGGCTACAGCAGCAATGGTGGACCTTATGGAACACATGGCCTCCAAGGACTAAGAGCCCTTGGACCACCAGCCCCAGTGAGAAGAAGAGGGCCCTCAGCTCTGGGGAGTCCTTGCCACAGATCAGTGCCCCGACACAATGAGAATCTCCTGACCACCGTTTCCATCCCCTACTTCCTGAGGAAGGGGAGGGGCGTAAGAAGCCCTGTTTTGTCATGCACCATCAATAAAGTTCACTGTTTCCAGCCAAAAAGAAAGGGCATGGGAGCCATAAACTAGTCATAAATGAAGGATATACAAACAAATAAAGAATCATTTATAGGGAATCAACAATAGAGTAGATGAAGCTGAGAATCAAAACAGCAATTTGGAATATAAGGAAGCAAAAAATTACCCAACAAGAACAGCATAAAGAAAAAAATTACAATAGTGTAAAAACTTCTGGGACAACTTCAAGTTTCCAACATTCTGGTGCCAGAAGTAGGAGGGAGAGAGCAAACAATTGAATACCTATAAAAAATAATGACTCAGTGGTTGATTGTCAACCTATAAAGCAGGAGGTTCTATTCCCAGTCAGGGCATATGCCTGGTTGCAGGCTCAATTCCCTGTGTGGAGCATGCAGGAGGTAGCCAATCATTGATTCTCTCTCACTGATGTTTCTATCTCTCCCTTCCTCTCTGAAATCAATTTTTAAAATGTATTTAAAAAATAATAATTACGGAGTTCGGCTGGTGTGACTCAGTGATTGAGTGTTGACCTATGAACCAGGAGTTCATGTTTCGATTCCCTGTCAGGGCATATGCCCAGGTTGTGAGCTCAGTCCCCAGTAGGAGGCCTGCAGGAGGCAGCTGATCAATTGATGATTCTCTCTCATTATTGATGTTT